ACAAAGATGACGTTTCAAACTCACCAGCTTCCAAGTTTCTTGGAAACATGATATAGGGTCACTATGAGTCAGCATTTAACTAACTACAGTTGCAAATTTGTGTGGCTGGCACAACTTAAATGAAGATGAAGTGAACATTATGATAGAAGCTAGAGAGTACTGGATGTGAATCTGCCTTGTCTGTTTGTGTGTGTACTCACATATGAAAGCATTTCAAAGCAAATTTTCTAGGTGTTATGAAATCTTCATATGACTAGTTTTTGTTTAAATAACTTTATTGTCTGTGTCCTTTATATAATCTAAATCATTTTCATGAATCATGAATGACAAGTAAGCAGTTTTTTTTTGTTTTTTTTTGTTTTTTTTTTATGTATGAAAGATTGAATCCTTTTAAGCCGTGAAATCTCAGGTATTTTAATCGGTTATGAAAATGAAAAGAAAAAATTTTTTAAGTACAAATAAAAGTGAAATAATGATGCATTTGTAACTAAGAATCATAAGATGGGAATATCTTCTCTTACATACGTCAGAAGTATTTCAGTTGGAAGAAATAAAAAATGAGAATACTTACTGATTGTCCTATCTTTAATTTCTGAGCAGAAAGAACGAGAGAGAGGTTCTAATTTGGCCTTTATGTTTCGACTGCCTTTTGCTGCTGGGAGGGTGTTTAGCATCAGTATGTTGGACACACTCTTATATCAGGTATGTGATTCTTTTTCTTTTATCTCTAACATGCTTATTTTATAAACTTCATAAAAATTAATTAAATAGCTTAAGTGAAAATCAGCTGTATAAGTAGTTCAGTATTTTATTCCATGTATTTAATGACATAAATATTCCTATGAAACACTTGGTTAGAAAAGCATTATTTTTTAGAAGTATCTATGGAAACTATTTGTAGGAATTCTTTGGTGCCAGTGTACAACAGTAATTATTCTGATACTTTATCGTATTTTGCATATTTCTCTACTGTTACTAGATGCAAAATAAGAGCTAGGAAGTATTACTTGAAAAACATTGGTTTTTTAGGATTGAAATAAACAGATTGATGCCAGTTAATTAATAAGCCAAGTTTATTTTAAGCATCTGAAACTATTGTCTACTTTTGCTGTTGTTAAGTTTCCAAAGGAGCTCTGGTGGCAAGTCGGACTGCTAACCTCAAAGTCAGCAGTTTGAAACTACTAGCCATGCCAAGGGAGAAAGATAAGGCTTTCTGCTCCCGTAAAGACTTACAGCCTCAGAAAACCTATACTGGGTCGCTATGAGTCAGACCTGACTCCATGATACATAACTACAACCATAGGGTTTCTGAGGAGCAGCTGGTGAATTTGAACCTCTGACCTTGTGGTTCAAACCAACCTTGTGATCCAGTGAATTATCTCACAGTCACAGGATCTGGAAGCAACTAATTTAGATTGTTCCTGAGAAACTTAAGGAAATGTTCATTTAAACAAATTTAGTTAATATTTTTAATCCTGTAAGAAGCTAAACAGCAACGCTATTTCATATCCTTTGATTCAAGTAATCAATCTGTAAATATTTTCAATGGAATAGAAAAAGATAAATAGGGCTTTAATTATTTGGTAACTTAAAATGCCAATTAAGCATTTTCTTATGCCTATTCACTTCTTTACTACTTATTTTATGTATCCTCTTCTAAAGCTTTCCTTCCGGCCTTAGGCTAATTTTGCCCCTGAGCACGCCTCTGGCAATGTCAGTAACCATCTGCTGAGTTACTGGATGAGAGTGCCGGAGCAAACACAGCAAAGAAGAATAAACATTCTTATTTGCCTTAAAGTTTCAGACAGTATCTGGACACTCGGGAGATAAGGCACCTCTCCAAAAACCATTACCCATGCTTATAATGTCTCAAAGAGAAGATGGGCGGAGAGGGCTTGTTTGAAAATTAATGTGCAAGTTGAAGACATGTCATTAGCAGTAAAATGTTTGGTTATTATATACCACAAGGTTTCAGATATTTTTAGCCATAATATGTTATACATGGAGTACACGTGCAAATAGTTAAGCACTAGACTTTTTGTTGTTGTTAAATCATTCAAGTCATAGCAACCTTGTTAAGTCCTTCGACTCAGCAACCTTGTATAGGGTTTCTGAGGAGCGACTGGTATTTCAAACCAACTATACAGTTTGTTTTATCTTACGCAATAAACATCCTCCTGAGATTGTATGTGAACCTAAGCAGCTCTGGTAGCGTAGTGGTTACCAATCGGGCTGTGAACCGGAAGGTCAGAAGTTCGAAACTACCAGCTGTTCCGCAGGAGAAAGATGAGGCTTTCTGCTCCCGTAAAGATTTACAGCCTCGGAAACCCTGTGCAGGGTCGCTATGAGTCGGCACCGACTCCACGGCACATAACAACAGCAATACAATCCAAAGCATTATCCCACAGCACCACACCATCAGTGGAAGAAATTCTTCACCAGTGTACCTTTAGTGCAGCCACTATCCACCTGCCATTGGGGGTTGTGTGTTGCTTTGGCATTGAAGAGGCTTCAGTGGAGCTTCCAGACTAAGACACAGCCTCAGGATGTACATCTTTATGGGAGGAGAAAGCCTCATCTTTCTCCCATGGGTCAGTTCATAGTTTCGAACTGCTGACCTTGAGGTTAGCAGCCCGACTCATAACCAGTATGCTACCAGAGCTGCTTAGGTTCACATACAATCTCAGGAGGATGTTCATTGCGTAAGATAAAACAAAAAGATGAATAAACCCAAACCCACTTCATCGAGTTGATTCCAATTTATAGCTACTCAGAAGCTGTAAATCTCTATGGAAGCAAAAAGTCTCATCTTTCTCCTGCAGAGCAACTGATGGTTTGGAATTGCTGACTGTGGTCAACAGTCCAGTACTTATCCTACTGCACTACTTGGATTCAGTTGAAGTAAAATTGTTCTGTAGATTTGTTGTCATTGTTGTTGTTGTTGTTAAGTGTGATCAAGTGATTTTCAAGGATTAGCTGCTGGGTTTGAACCACCAACCTTGTGCTTAGCAGTCTAGTGCTTAACCTACAGGACCACTCCAGGACTTCACTTCGTATACTCTTTCTGACACACGTTTTCTTACATTTATATTTTTAACAAAATATGTCGCAAAAAGGAAGTGGAAGAAATAATTATTGCTAGTGTGGAAAACAGTACTTATTTCTTCTTTATTTTTGCTTCACATTTTATGTTAGAAATAGAATATAGAAAACTGTGTTTTTGGAACTACCTCAGAAAGAGTGAACTCAAATAACAGTTTTCAAGATTTTTAAATTGTTGCAGAATGAAATTATATTCTATATTATAATCCAATACACATTCATATATGTAGGTATATGTGTTATTTTGTTGTTAAGTGCCTGAGGAGTGGTTGATGAGCTTGAACTGCCAACGTTGTGGTTTAAACCAACTTTGCAGTCTAGTGCATTAACCCAGAATGCCACACCAGGACTCCGTGTGTTATCTGACTGAGGCAGAAGTATCACAGTACAATGTTCACATTTTCAGTTTGTATTAACTTTTTACTTCCTTGATGTATCTTATTTCATTAAATTTTTTCCTAATCATGACTCATAACAGTTATTTTTCTTTACTTGCTTAATTAAAAAAAAAAACAAAAAACTAGAGAACTTCAGAATTGGTAAAATCTAGAAAAAAAAAAAAAAAAAAAACTAGAGAACTTCAGAATTGGTAAAATCTAGAAAATAAATTTACCTTCCCATATTTGTTGGTATAGAAAATCAGATTATAAAATGAAATATAGACATTGACTGAACATGAAAATTATTCTTCAATGAATAAATTGCATGAGATGTAATGGATCAGTGTTGTGGCATCATTGGGGATTAAAATAATTGAAAAGAGTCATGCGCCAACTCTTCAGTTCATTTTCTCTTCCACAGATACTTTATTTTCTTCCTTTTAGAAAATAGTATTTTCACATGTGGTGAGTTTGTTTTAAAACTGCAGCACAAACAGGTCTCAAATGAAATTGATTGATGGCCTCTAAAGTTGCATATCTCAACTCCTCCTAATATTAAATTTAAGTTTTTGGCCTGATAAAAAAGAATGGGCTCTTTTCCTCATTCTCTATTATTGGTAACTGGGCTTAGTTTTCTGAAACTGTTGTTATTAAGTGCCACTGAGTCAATTCCAGTCCATAACGACTCTTTATAGGGTTTCCTAGGAGCAGCTGGTGAGCCTGAACCACCAACCTTTGCAGTACAGCGCATTAACCCACAGCGCCACACCAGGGCCAGTAAAATGAACTAGTAACCAACAAACTAATCTAGTAGACTTATTTTTAAATGATTGTAGCGTTTTAAGGGGTGCACAATAGTGCCATAGGATAAGCAAAGGACTGTGAACCACAAGGTTGGTTGTTCGAGCCCACCATCTGCTCTGTGGGAGAAAGAGAAGGCTTTCTTGTTCTTGCAAAGATTTACAGCCTTGGAAACCCTATTCAGGATCACTATAAGTGGGAACAGACATGACAGCACTTTAACAACAACTTAATAGCATTTTAAAAGTAAAATAACTTTGTTGTTGATATCAAGTGCCATGGGGTTGTTTACGACTTGCAGCAACCCTCTATGGGGTTTCTGAGGAGCATCTGGTGGGTTTGAACTGCTGATCTTGTGGTTCACAATCAAGGGCTGATGCTAAAGTGCTATACCAAGAGTCCAAAATAACTATATTGTATAAATATTTCATTTTTAACAGTTAAAGACCTAAATCAGGTAGTCATTGCTATAATAGATAATTGTTATATGTCATGATTCAATTTACTTGTATTTGTTGAAAACTTAGTTTTTATTATTCATGTTTTTGTTGTTGTTAAGTGCCTTTGAGTCAGTTCCAACCCATATCAACCCTCTATAGGGTTTCCAAGGAGCAGCTCATAGCTAAGAATAATTTGAGGAAATATAAAGCATTGTTAAGTGTTAAATAAAATTTTTAAATTATTTTATTTGCTAGAATAAGAATGCTTTTATAATTTTCTACTAAAATATACAAAACTGTAGGATAAGCACTGGCCTGAGAAACAAAAGGTCAGCAGTTCA